TCTGGTCATCCACTGTACTGTGTCTGCAGTCCCTGGTCATCTGTACTGTCGCAGAGTCTCTGGTCATCTGTACTGTCCGCAGTCCTCTGGTCATCCCTGTACTGTGTCTGCAGCTCTGTCATCATCTGTACTGTCGCTGCATCTCTGATCATCTGCACTGTCCGCAATCTCTGGTCATCTCCTGTACTGTCCGCAGTCTCTGGTCATCTCTCCTGTACTATGTATGCAGTCCTCTGGTCATCTCCCTGTACTATGTCCCGCAGTCTCTGGTCATCGCCCTGTACTATGTTCGCAGTCTCTGGTTCATCTCCCTGTACTCTGTCTGCAGCTCCTCTGGTCATCTCCGTACTGTGTCCACAGCCTCTGGTCCATCTCCTGTAGTATGTCTGCAGTCTCTGGTCAAATTCTGTACTATGTATGCAGTCTCTGGTCATCTCCTGTACTATGTCCGCAGTCTCTGGTCATCCCCTGTACTATGTTCGCAGTCTCTGTCATCTCCTGTACTCCTGTCTGCAGTCCTCTGGTCATCTCCTGTACTGTGTCCACAGCCTCTGGTCCATCTCCTGTAGTATGTCTGCAGTCTCTGGTCATCTTCTGTAAGTATGTCCACAGTCTCTGGTCCATCTCCTGTACTGTGTCTGAAGTCTCTGGTCATCCCCTGTACTATGTCCGCAAGTCTCTGGTCATCAACCCCTGTACTATGTCCGTCAGTCTCTGTCCCATCTCCTGTACTGTGTCCGCAGTCCTCCTGGGTCAATCCCCTGTACTGTGTCCGCAGTCTCTGGTCATCTCCTGTACTGTGTCCACAGTCCACCCTCTGGTCCATCTCCTGTACTATGTCCGCAGTCTCTGGTCATCTCCTGTAGTATGTCCACAGTCTCTGGTTGTGAGGGACCGCCGAGCGGCACCACTAGCACTCCACCGGTCAGTAACCGTGCCCCAGAGCGCGGAGTCTAAGCCCCAGGGTAACTTGTTCACCAGGGCCCCGATGGTGGGGATGGACTTGTAGTACCCCGGGACCGAGGTCGCCACTACTGAGCACACCCCTGTCAGTGTAGGGGTGTTCGCCAGGGTCTCCAACCAGGGAGAGCCAGTATGTGAGGAAGGTCGGGTGACCCCCGATGGGATGGATGGATGGTAGGCTGAGCAAGTGCGAAGTCAGAACAGGCCGTTAGTGTGGTAACGTAGAGGACAGTAAGTACAAGGTAGCAGGCAGAGAATCGTCGGGTCACACGCCAGTCAGCAACAGTAGGTCAGATCTAATGAGGGGCATCCAGGGAGAGAGGTCAGGCAAAGCAAGGGTCTGGGCAGGAGAAATCAGCAGGTCAAGAACAATCCGGGGCAAATAACTTACAAGGCACAGGTGTCAGAATCACAGAAGCAGGTAAGACCAGAAGGCAACAAAATGACAGCTCAGGGACATTTAAATATCCCGCCCCCTAACGCTGCCATTGGTGCCCCAGCGGGCGCCGCGGCTTCTACTGCGCATGTGCAAACTCGTAACAGCCGCGGCTGCCCAGACCTAGTGCCCGTGTCCCTGCACAGGTCGGAGCAGTGCGCCTGCGCCGGACCATCGCGGCAGGGATCGAGGGATCCCTGACACTGGTCATCTCCTGTAGTATGTCCCTGCAGTCTCTGGTCATCTCCTGTACCGTGTCCACAGTCTCTGGTCCATCTCCTGTACTATGTCCTGCAGTCTCTGGTCATCTCCTGTAGTATGTCCACAGTCTCTGGTCCATCCCCTGTACTATGTCCGCAGTCTCTGGTCATCCCCTGTACTATGTCCGTAGTCTCTGGTCATCTCCTGTACTGTGTCCCGCAGTCTCTGGTCACCCCTGTACTGTGTCCACAGTCTCTGGTCCATCTCCTGTATTATGTCCGCAGTCCTCTGGTCATCTCCTGTAGTATGTCCACAGTCTCTGGTCCATCTCCTGTACTATGTTCCGCAGTCTCTGGTCATCTCCTGTAGTATGTCTGCAGTCTCTCTGGTCATCTCCTGTTACTGTGTCCACAGTCTCTGGTCCATCTCCTGTACTATGTCTGCAGTCTCTGGTCAGCATCTCCTGTACTATGTCCGCAGTCTCTGGTCATCTCCTTTACTGTGTCCACAGTCTTTGGTCATCTCTCTCCTGTACTGTGAGGGTCTGCATTCTCTGGTCATCTCCTGTACTGTGTCCGCAGTCTCTGGTCATCCCCTGTACTGTGTCCGCAGTCTCTGGTCATCTCCTGTACTGTCCGCAGTCTCTGGTCATCTCCTGTACTATGTCCGCAGTCTCTGGTCCATCTCCTGTACTATGTCCGCAGTCTCTGGTCATCTCGTGTAGTATGTCTGCAGTCTCTGGTCCATCTCCTGTACTGTGTCCGCAGTCTCTGGTCATCTCCTGTACTATATCCGCAGTCTCTGGTCTCCTAGATTGTAAGCTCGAAAGAGCAGGGCCCTCAATCCCCTCATGTTTTGCGTTGTATTGGTATTGTTCTGTCACAGTTCTGTCCCCCTCTGTAATGTAATCTCCTGTACTATGTCTGCAGTCTCTGGTCATCTCCTGTACTGTGTCCGCAGTCTCTGGTCATCTCATGTACTATGTCTGCAGTCTCTGGTCATCTTCTGTACTATGTCTCTGCAGTCTCTGGTCATCCCCTGTACTGGGTCCACAGTCTCTGGTCATCTCCTGTACTGTGTCCGCAGTCTCTGGTCATCTCCTGTACTGTGTCCGCAGTCTCTGGTCATCTCCTGTACTGTGTCCGCAGTCTCTGGTCATCTCCTGTACTGTGTCCGCAGTCTCTGGTCATCTCCTGTACTGTGTCCGTAGTCTCTGGTCATCTCCTGTACTGTGTCCGCAGTCTCTGGTCATCTCCTGTACTGTGTCTGCAGTCTCTGGTCTTCTCCTGTACTGTGTCTGCAGTCTCTGGTCATCTCCTGTACTATGTCTGCAGTCTCTGGTCATCTCCTGTACTGTGTCCGCAGTCTCTGGTCATCTCCTGTACTGTGTCCACAGTCTCTGGTCATCTCCTGTACTGTATCCACAGTCTCTGGTCATCTCCTGTACTGTGCCCGCAGTCTCTGGTCATCTCCTGTACTGTGTCCGCAGTCTCTGGTCATCTCCTGTACTGTATCCACAGTCTCTGGTCATCTCCTGTACTGTGTCCGCAGTGTCTGGTCACTTCCTGTACTATGTCTGCAGTCCATTTGTTCTGAATATTTTTTTCTTGTTTTTCTCCTCTAAAATCTAGGTGCGTCTTATGGTCAGGTGTGTCTTATGGAGCGAAAAGTACGGTATATTTTAAAGATACTAGGGGGAAATTCTCATAGCTGCTTTAGTCTTAGTAAATTCCTCTTTGTTTATTAAAAAAATCAAAATCACATTACAGATTGGCAACAGATACAAAAAGGGTGTCTGTGCTCCCCTGACACTCCAATCATCTGCCTTGTCCTGTAAGTAATATTGTCTTACAGTATTATATTATTATATCAAAGAATTGTAAGTGTTGTTCTCCTTTAGAGTATGTAAACCAAGCATTTCATATTCCTGATGTGTGCTTGCTGTACCATGTACTTCTGTGAAAAATTATCCTGTTTGTATTGCTTCCTTTGTGTGAAATCCTTGGTGTTCCTGCCAGTCCCTCTGCTTTCCTATTAAAAACTGACCACACTAAGCAGGAGAACACACCGTGGTCAGTTCTCTAGCTGTGCTAGGAACTGGGCATAGCTAGAGAACCGACCAGACGTCTACTTACTGACACACCCTCACCCCCTACAATCCTTTTACTGGAAAGACCAGTATGCTGCTGTTTCTCCCCCCCCCCCCCCCCCTCCTTATTCAGCTGAGAACAGAGGCTATGTGATCACTCATAAAAAAGGGGGAAAGGGTATTTAAAATGTTTTTTCTTATATCTGTACACAAATGTTTTGCCTTTCATTTATTTTTTAAACTAAATGGGTTGTCTTACAAGGCGAGGGTTTACTATCACTTTAAGCTGCCCACTGCTATACATAGATCAATGTGGCCAATTAATCCAAACATCAGAATCCTGTTTTTTGTTTTGTATAGAAACGCTTATGGCTAAATTGGGACAGAGCTGGAAATATTGGTGGATGATCTGATGACCATGAATACTAATAGTTCAGTACATTTTAAAATAGTGAATTTCATCCTGCCCATTTGACATTAAAGATAACTATTCTAATTATCCTTGCCATCATTTTTCTAGCTCCTCATTATGTCAGCCCTCTGATCCACTGGACACTATCAAAGACTAGAGAAGGAAGAAAAATCTTGCTATCTCCATGAAGTAATTAGACAAATCAATAAACTGTAACTAAATATACTAAATACTATTCAGCTTACTGTTCAAACGTTTTATTACATTTTTGAGGTTTACATACAACAAACAAGAAAGAAGGGATTCACATCTGAAAGCATCATCTGTTAGCACAAGACTAAGGCCTCCAGATCGATGCCAAATACAGGCATCTATCAACATATATCTCATCAGCCAATGGATCACATGGCAACACAGTGACTAAGCCCATATGGAAGAAAAATATATTTGAAATATATTTTAAAAATGTTCTTCCCAAATATACTGACATATATTTGAAATGCTACAATTTTGGCCATATTCAATATATTTCAAAATGTATTTCAATAAATATATATATATACATATATACTTTATGTTGAAAATGAGTTTTTATTACAAAATATATGAAAAAAATATTTTTAAAAAATTACATTTCAAATATACTGTATGTCTTTAAAAATACAAATCTACAGTTTTGGAATGCATATGTAAAAAAGATATGTTAAATTACTTTTTTATATGTTAAAAAAAAATCTGAAGAATATATTTTAAAATAATATATTTTTAGTAATATATATTTTTTAAATATATTCTTCAGATTTTTCTTAACATAGAAAAAAGTAATTTAACATATATTTTTACATATATTTGTAAATGCATTAAAAAAATGTAGATTCCTTCTGCCTGGAAGCACTAGGGTTGCTAGTTTGAATCCCAGCCGCAGCACTACAGAGTTTGCATGTTCTCCCTGTGCCTGCGTGGGTTTCCTCCCACAATCCAAAGACATGCTGGTAGGTTAATTGGCTCCTGTATAAATTTGCCCTAGTATGTGTATGTATGAATGTGAGTTAGGAACCTTAGATTGTAAGCTTCTTGAGGGATAGGGACTGATTTGAATGTACAATATATGTAAAGCACAGCAAAATTGATGGTGCGATATGAGTTCCTGAACGCATGGATATTTCCTGGGTTTACCCCATGCACACAGGGCTTTTTTTTTTGCCAGAATGGAGTTCCGCCACCTCTGTTGCTAGCCCCTTGCCCACTGCTCACTATTGTCACATGCACACATAGAAGCCTGGCTCTTGTGTGTGTAAATGACAGGCTCCTCTCCTGGTGGTGCATGCTCTGCACTATCCCTATGAGAGTAGAGGAGGGAGGATGCACAACTCTAGTGTCCCAGTGACTCCTCCTAAAGCCCAAGCTAGCAGCCTGCACGCTGCTGCTGTAAGATTTCAGCCTCTCTCTATGGTATTGTTTAGGTGGATCGATATCTTATGCAGTCCAAAAAAGTCCACATAAAGAATTCACCAATACTAATGGAGACAATGTTCAAACTGTGAACAAGAAGCGTGACATGCATAAACTTCCAGGTGTAAATGGTGTTCACTCCCTGCCGCTAAACAAACGAGTGGCCGCTCACCTCAAGCGAATGACCTCTGAATTAACAGACAGGTCATATCTCGCATTTCCCCACCGGGGTTTCTATAAACTGGGAGCTCTTCCAATCACCGATGATGTATCCTCACATTCCAGTCGCTCAACGAATAAAATTCAAAATACTAACAACAACTTACAAAGCCATCCTCAACTCTGCCCCCAGCTACATCACCAACCTGGTCTCAAAATATCAACCAAACCGCTCTCTTCAATCCTCCCAAAGACCTTCTGCTCTCTAGTTCCCGTGTCACCTCCTCCCATGCTCGCCTCCAGGACTTCTGCCGAGCTTCTCCCATCCTATGGAACTCTCTACCCCAATCTGTCCGGCTATCTCCTAATCTATCCAAACATTAGACGATCCCTGAAAACCTTTTTCTTTAAAGAAGTCTATCCTGCTTCTACCTAGTAAAGTGCTGTTTATTTCCTTCATGAGCTCATCCCCACCCACAGCTATTACCTTTTGTATCACTCAACCTTTCCGCCTAGATTGTAAGCTCTAACGAGCAGGGCCCTCTGTTTCCTCTTGTACCCAATTGTATTGTAACTGTAATGTCTACCTTCATTTTGTAAAGCGCTGCGCAAACTGTTGGAGCTATATAAATCCTGTATAATAAGTATAATAATAATTAATCCAGGTTGGCATGAAACGCGTGAACCTTTCTTCCCCCACCAGTCACTGGATGGTGTTTTTATGCTGTTTTTCATATATAATAAAAGTGGACATGTGTTTCAGTGCGGCTTTCCGGATTTTCCTGGAAGGAGTGTGGAGTGTGGGACTAGTGAGTCTACCTTGAGCAGCGCTGTTCTTTCTTAGTCATCAAATCAAGTTTAGGTGTAAAGAATTATTCTTTAACTAGTGGATCCTTTTATGAGAGAAGTCCACAAATGCCAAAATAGTTAAAAACCATGTAACCAGACAGACATTATAACTATAGCAAACACAACCACTTTTCATAATACATTGAAAATGGACAAAGATAACACAAATGCTCGAGGTAGACAAGACATTAGTAACTAATGTTTTGGACTTGAATGTCAGGAATTCGTTGAACAAAAAATTTTAATTACAACTATACAGTACACAAAATTCCCTTTATCCAACACCTGTGCTTTTGGTTGGTTTGGTCTGTATCAGTAGCTGCTAGAATGAGCATTGGAGAGAGGAGAAGAAGTTGGCTAAGCCATCTGGAAGGTTAAAGCTCCATCGTCCTGAAAACTGTCATTTTACAGATTGGGTTTGAATGTACTTGGTGGCTACAGGGCAATGGAGACTATTGATATTACAAAGTCTTTAATAAATAAGGTCTATGTAAGCTACAGAAAAAGATAGTACACAGATGTAGTCAAAAAGCTTCAGCTATTTTCGGATAAGTATTCAGCAGTCACAGAATGGTTTTTATTTTTGGCGACCTGGCACAACTCTAATGTCAAACTACAACATCTGCTTTGTGTGAAGGTTCATTTTTTGTTTCCTCATGCTGATAAGTGTTGAAGTTGAACAGTGTAAATTCAGCTTAATAACTTTACCACTAAGCTCATGATGTATGTCATCTATGTCAACATGAGTCCCACCTGACAAAACCCATTGATGACCGTTTATTTTCATTAGTTTTTTTTTGCTCCTGATATGCAGAGAAACTAGAAAGTATGACAAAAGTATTTTCCTATGTAAAGAGCAATTATTTTTTTCCAACCATCAACAAAAAGTTGGGACAAAATAGAGCAGCCATTATTTGGGTAACTGGAAAATACATTTTTGGGATGAAAACATGTGTTTT